AGATACTACAGCTTAGGTTTTTGGGATCCCTTGGAGATGGTCTATCCACATCGACTATCACCCCTGGGATGGATTTATTTGAATCCCACTTCATGGTGCCCCCCAGGTCTCCCTCTTGGGGCCCCAACCTGGGCCAGTCACCCTTTGTTTTGTTCTCACCAGCGGACGCACTGTCCACAGATTCATCTGCCAACTGGCCTGTGCTATGAAGAGCCTTGGGCTCCCTATCCACTAGCCACAGTTTAAGTTCATGGGGACATTCCCATAGCTCCAATCCTACCAGGTCATATAGTGACACCTGCATTTTTATCCCATTTGTGGAGATGTTCTCCCAGCAGGGTGGTGGCTTCCATACACGTCACACGTTGGGTCTTCTGCACACCCCAAAACCTTTCCCTCGAAGCCTGACTTGTCAATTCAGACTTAAGCAGTAGAGCCTTTTTGAACTGTCTGTACCCCCCACACAACTCTGCCCATCTGGCTGTACGTCTCTGTCGCTTTGGGATCCCGTAAGGGGGTGAGACAGCAGAGCCGGTCCACAGGTTCAACGTGGTTCAAACCACAAGCCTCCCCCAAGGCAGGGAGATATTTATATCACCTCCACTTAAACTGGGGCAGCAATTTAGTATCTAGGCTCCCTGTGGAATTGGCTTCCCATGGTCTCTCCGCACTTACTCCTCGATGGGACCTCTTGTTCTCCTCTTCTCCGTATCCAGTTCATGCTCTCCCTGCGTGTCCTGGTTTTTCTGCTGTTCCACCTGGTGCCGTCGCTGGTCCTCCTCATGCGTTCACTGTTTAGTATCGATCGCCGCCTTCTAGTCTCTGTTCCTCCAGCTTCCTCACTTCCAACTCTCACTGCCCCAACTCTGGGGTGGGAAATTGGGCTGTGAGGGAGCCATGCTGTTGCTACGGCTGATGCCTCTGTCATCCCCGGACTCTGTGGGGAACTTGCCTTCTCCAGCCGTGCAATCAGTTGCACCTGGTTGAATTTCTCAACACTTCTCTTCTCTCCCTGCACAGCTCTGTGATGCTCTCCACAGGGAGGCAGGTACACGGAATTTTCTTGCTTGTTTCCTTTGACTAACCTTGTTTGTACTGCTGCAAGTCACTCACTGCACAATACTCCTGGTGCATTCAGTGTCCCACCCCTGCCACCAGCTGTCAGGGACCCACAGGATCTGTGCTTTGCCCCAGCTTCTAAATGTCCCTGGTGTGCCAGACCCCAACGGGTCCCACTCTTCCTTAAACATAGGCCATGCGCCTCAGTGCCTCTGAGACTGAGCCTCTGGGCTCCAGCACTTCTGTTTCGCACTGTGAGCTCTGCCCAGCGAGTCCAACTGAGATAGACTCCGGGTCAGAGACTTTTGCCCTCTCCGGGGATCAATGCAACTCAGCAAGTATTTGCAATGACACCAGGCAGCATTTCAGCACAGAGCAGGCTTTATTAGTCAACTGGAGGATAGCATGGGGAAGTCCTTACGTTAGCAGAGAGAAGCAAAGGTGAACACACAGTCCTTGCTGGCCAAGTCAGGGCTCCCTTGAGCCATGCTGCTAAAGGAACCATCCTGGGATCCTCTCTCTGTCTCAGTTCCTTTGTGTCTCAGTCCCAGGTGAGGGCTCCTGATTCTCCCAAGACCAGGTCTGATCCTAGCCGCCTGCCACCTCCTGGTGCATTGTACTCTTCCTGCAGACTCAGGCTGAGTTCGCAAGTTCCACCTGCTGGAGGGCCCTGTGGATAGGTTCCAACTGTTCAGTCCTTGGGGGTCTCCATTGTCTTTCCAGATCCTCCATTGATCTGGGTGGGTTTCAGCCAGTCCCTCAATGACCCCTTCACACCACCCCGGCCAGCTAGTGACCCAGCACCTCACATCTCCTGCTCTGCCCCAAGAGCAGCTTTTTAACCCTTTTGTGCCCACTTGGTAACAGTCCCTAGTCGAGTCAGTCACTGCCCCACATCTCATTCCTAGAAATATTACAGACAATTCCCTCTTCGTCACTTCATGTACGACACTTGTTATTTACAAAAAAACAAGGAAAATTCCTGCCAGAAACTACATTAGCGTTACAGTTGAGAGAGCGTATCAGTAATACGGGGTAAAACACAATGCTATTATCTGGAAACAAAGTGTCATAAACTCAGGAAATTCACAGTTAAGGTTAAACTAAACTGAAAAGAAATCTAAATATGTTAAGGTCACATTAGGGCACCCAAACAACCTTAACTCTGCCCTGCCATAAACTCTACCAACTTCCCATACAGTTAAAATTCACGGCAATCTTGTGCCTGGGAAACATTTGAATAGTCTACTCTATTATTAATGACAGCTTTCCCTGTTACTTTTCATCGCAGAAATGTTCTTTGTCAGCAGACATCTTCATTCTGCCCTCCCGCGGCACCGTGCAAACCCCACACCCTTATGATTAAGGCATTTTAGTGGATGAGAACCAAGATAACATTGAACTGATTGCATCTGAAGAAGTGAGGTTCTTACCCACCAAAGCTTATGCTCCCAATACTTCTGTTAGTCTCAAAGGTGCCACAGGACCCTCTGTTGCTTTTTACAGATTCAGACTAACACGGCTCCCCCTCTGATATTAAACTGATTGTTAAAGACTCAATCGGGTTTTTTTCTTATTTTTTTTCCCTCACGGGACAACTGCAGGCTACAGTTGAGGTTGTTTGGGCGCCTTAACTGCATTTTCATACTTTAACATGTTTGGATCTTTTTTATATTTAACCCTGGCTGTGAATTTCCTGGGTTTTAAGGTTTGTTTTTT